GCCCTCTAGTTCGAAGACATCTGGGGCAGTACTATGATTTCCTGAAATACAACATCTGGGGTATTTTTTTTTAAATCATAGCTTTCAGGTTGGCAAGTGATTTTTAATTTCTCTCTCCTTAATCTGTTTTCCAAGGTGGTTGTTTTTGCTATGAAACATCCTATTACATACTAAGACTTTGTCTTATGTCTTAGTATTTCTTGCTGTTGCAAGTAGTCAGCAGCTTCTATTTGATCCATTCTAATTTTCAGGTGGTTTGTTGCTTGGGTAAGTTTTGGTACATCTTTATGTGCCAAGCTGTTAATTCCTTTTCCAATTCTTTCTTCCTAGCTTTTATTTGTCTTCTAATTTTTTTCTTCTAGTGCTCTCAATTTATTTATAAGAACACTTTTAACTCTTTAAAAAAAATACCCAAACCTTTTGCTTCAACTCTTCCAATGTGAATATATACCCAAACTGTGTATTCTTTTGGGTCTTGGCTTGTAGATGTTTTGGTGGCATTCTTTCCTGTGCCTTGAATGTCACCACAGGGATTGGTTTTTTGTTTGCTTATTCTTCCAATCTACTTCCTGACTTAAGACTTGTTAGGGCTGGGTTCTGTACACTACTAGAGGAAATGTCTTGGGTAGTCCTACTGCTTTTCTTGGCATGGTGAGTGCTTTTTTAAATAATATTTTGTGTTTTTTTTCCCCCAATTACATGTAAAGACAATTTTTAACATTCATTTCTCAAAAGTTTGAGTTCCAAATTCCCTCCTTCTCTCTTCCTCTTCCCCCTCCCTGAGACAGTAAGCAGTTTGATATAGGTTATGCAAAACATATTTCCATATTAGTCATGTAGTGACAGAAGACACAGATAAAAAACACCACACACACACACACACACACACACACACACACACACACCACACAAAATGAAGGACAGTATGCTTCAATCTGTATTCAAACTCCATAAGTTCTCTCTTTGGATGTAGATAATGGCATTTCTCATCATGAGTCCTTTGGAACTGTCTTAGATCACTGTATTCCAGAGAACAGCTAAGTCATTCACAGTTGATCATCATACAATATTTCTATTACTATGTACAATATTCTCCTGGTTCTGCTCACTTCACTTTGTATCAGTTTGTATAAGTCTTCCCAGTTTTTTTCCTGAAATCAGCCTGCTCATTTCTTTTTTTTTCTTTCTTTCTTCTTCTTCTTTTTCTTTTTTTTTATTTAGGCAATTGGGGTTAAGTGACTTGCCATGGGTCACACAGCTAGTAAGTGTCAAGTATGTGGTCTGAGGCCCGATTTGAACTCAGGTCCTCCTGACTTCAGGGCCACTTAGCTGCCCCATTCTGCTCATTTCTTATAGCACAACAGCATTCCATTAAAATCATAAACCACAATTTGTTCAGCCATTACCCAGTTGAAGGGCATCTCCTCAATTTCTAATTCCTTAGCATATTGAGTGCTGAGCTGTTCCAGAATCTCAGGCACAACTCATACTAGAGATCTATAAACTTTCAGTGTTCCCAAAATGGTCTGTTCAGGGCAAAGTCTGATTTCTGTCCTGCTCTGAGCTTTGTAAACTCCTGACCTGAGTTTGGGTCTGAGTAGTATACCTGTGTGCTTACTCATTTGAAATTTCAGTAGACTGATGCTGGATTCAACTCCTTGTCAGCCTGGAAAGCTCCTATGGGTCAAATCAACACCCTTACTGGCTCCCTTTTAGTATGGGATTCCTAGCCTAGTTATTTTACTGCTGGCTTCATATTGGGCTGGAAGTTGGATCTAAGAACCTAATCTACTCTTGCGGTCCAAGCCACACAGATGCTCTTTAATTCTGAGCTTGTTTCTTGTTTAGTACATGGCCTAGGGCCCAAGACTGATCCTCTTGCCCACCTGAATCTTCTGATGAGTCTTCTGCTCATTCTACCCTGGATTTGTGATCTGGAACTGGGTAATAAGTGACAGAACTGCCAGGTGGCACCTGTTCCTGTGTCCCACACAAATTTTTGCCCCTCTGTGCTGCATTTGGGGCCTCTTCTTATCCTGGTACACAGCCTCTCCTTGCACTGGTATTCTTTACATGGCCATTCCTGGCTAGACATTCCCCTCTTCAGTGTCCATAGATCTGTCTTCTTTATGCTGACCTGAGCTTGAAAAACGATTCAGTGGCTCGCTGTAATTTTTTTTTTCTTGGATTTCTCAATTGTTACATGGGCGGGTACGCTTTCTAGATCTGTTTGGAATGAAGTGTAGGGGGAAGTTCAGCTTTAATTCTTCCCGCCATCTTGACTCTGCATCAGGGGTATATCATGAACAGGCTGGTTTAAGAGTATCTTTGAAGGGAGACAATAATTGCTAAAATCGAGGATGGCTGCATGTGGACAGGTCATATCTGGCTAAGCTACTTTGTTTTTTAACAGGATAGGTAGATTAGAAGAAGAGGGGAATGAGACAAGCACAACATGCCTGTAATTCAGTATGGCACATCACAAAATCCTTCATGCTATTCTTGTGGACAAGATTATATGAATTAGGTGACAGTGTAATTTGGTAGATTCAGAACTCTTTGAACAACCAGACTGAGATTTGTCCTCTGCAGGGGAAGGCCTCTGCAACCTGGGCCTGTCCCTATGTTGTTTACATTTTTATCATTGACAAGAATCAAGCTCTGCATAGCTTGCTTATCAAACATGCAGATCATTAACACCTTAACTAACATAGCTAACATTTTAGATGACAGAAGGATCCAAAAAACACTTAAGGCAGCACAATGTGATAGAAAGAGCACTGGGTCAAAGGACCTGGGTTCAAATCCAGTTTTGTTACTATAGTCAAATCATCTAAACTTTTTGGGCCTCAGTTTTCTCATCTGTAAAATGAAGGGGTAGAACTAGATGATTCATAATGTCTCTTCCAGCTTTAATTCCTATGAAATTAATTAGGTGACATTTAATAGTGATAAATCTGAATTTCTGCATTTGATGTCAAAGAATCAACTGCACAAGAAAATGATGGGCTAGAAATGGTTAGATGACAGTTTGCACAAAAAGAGTCTGGATTTTATTGGACTGTATGTAAGTCAACAGTGTGACACGGGAGCCAAAAAAGCTAATACAATCTTAGGTTCCATTGAGAGACAGGTGACCGGGGTGGCAAAGGGACCTGAAATCATGCCAGACAAGGATTAGCTGAAGGGACTGGAGATGTGTTCTCTGGAGAAGAGAAGAATAATGAGAGGGAAGGGAAGGAGGGAATGAACATTTATATAGTACCTACTACATGCCAGATGGGCAGCTAGGTGGCACAGTGGATATACTGCCAGGCCTGGAGGCAGGAATACATCTTCCTGAGTTCAAATCTGGCCTCAGACACTTACCAGCTGTATGACCCTGGACAAGTCACTTAACCCTGTTTGCCTCAGTTTCCTCATCTGTAAAATGAGCTGGAGAAAGAAATGGCAAACCACTCCAGTATCCTTGCCAAGAAAACCCCAAAAAGAGTCTGACGTGACTGAAAAACAACTCAACAACAACATGTGCCAGACACTGTGCTAAACAGGAGGAGCTCTCTTTATTGGGCTGTCATGTGGAATAGGAGTTGTGCTTGCTCTGCTTATTCTCTGAGAACAGAACTACGAGTCATGGGTAGAAGTCAAAGAAAAGCAGATTCAGAATTGATAGATGGAAACAGAAATTCCCTACAGAGCAGCCTCCCAGTAGCATAGGCTGCCTGGGAAGGCTCTGGGTTCTCCTTCACAGGTGACCTCGAGCTGAGGCCTGGATGGTCACTCATCAGCAATCTAGAAGGGCTGGCTAGTCAGGTAGAGGCTGGACTGGTAACCCCAACCCAAGTTCTGACCTCCCGTTTCTTTCACCTCACAATGACATTTTTTGCCCTCTTTCCCTGACTGTTTCTTACCTGTCTATTAATCATAATGGATGGTAAATTGAAAAAAAAAATTAAAAAGAAAAAAATTGGATCTGAAAATTATTCAGGTTGGCTGAGTTAAAAAATTATTGTATAATTTTCCATTCTTCGCTTTTTACTATGCAGACACAGGGAAAATAATAAAACCTTGTGTAAGCAGTGGAAGTTACAACATTGATTTTTTTCTAAGCCACTCCTTTAGAAAGTCAGTTCAATAGAAATAAGAAAGATAAAAGATCAGATCAAGAGCTAGAAAGGGTCTCATATACCATCTACTAAAACTCCATCCTGTTACAGATAAAGGTATTGAAGCCCAGGGATGTTAGATGACTTGTCCAAGTTCACACAGGTAATAAGCATCAAAGGCAGAGTTTGAATTCAAGACCTCTGACTCCAGAGTCAATGTTCTTTTCAATGAATAAAGTCAATTTTATTACATTTATAATTCTTTTTACAGTGTGACACAAATGCTCAAATGTAGGAAATGTTAGCACATCCTTGTAGCATTTTATACATCTTTCATACCTCTAGCATGTTACTTTACAAAAACAAACAAAAAATAGATTAAGAAGAACTGAGACCACAATGGAGTCATCACTAAGAATGAAAAGTGAAAACCCATTAATTAATTACTAAAATTTTCTGTTAAATTATCATGGAGATAAGTTTAAATTTCTCAAGGAAAGGAATTCATTTACCCTGGTTTCTCATCCCTTTCTTTCCAGTTCTTTCACATACTGCAGCAAGTGCTCAGTAAGCATGTGTTTGGCTGAACTGAGCCGTAAATTTGTACAGGGCATAATCTTAATCCTAGTATTTACCAGTATGGTTAAAGAGCATGCATCAGCACAACTGCAAAACCAAGAGCATTTTCACAGGTTAGCAACTGCCTGACTTTATTCTCACAGCATTTTTATCTGACTTCGATCCCTTTCTCACTTGGGGACCTCTGGGAAATTGAGCAGTACAGAATATAGAATTGCATCATTTGGAACACGATTTAATTTTCAATGTTCTTTGAATAATTCTTACATATAAAAATTCTGTAATTATCAATTACAATGAAGATTCAGAACTTACCTGACACAGATGTACTGGCAGATCTTCACATATATATTTACTTTTCCTTTTCCAGAGATATGCAAATGATGACAAGGAGATCAAAAAAATGAGCAAACCTGCTCCTGTTCTGTGAAAAGTAAAATAAAGTTCCTTTTAAAAAATCCTTTTATGAATTTCATAAGATATTTTCAGAGCACCATCTATGTACAAGGTAATGAAGTTCTCTGAACTTCATTGATAATGAACCATTTATCATATGCCATGATCAAGAGCTAACCATGGGGGCAGCTAGGTGGCACAATGGAGAGAGCACTGGCCCTGGAGTCAGGAGGACCTGAGCTCAAATCTGGCCTCAGATACATACCATTCACTAGCTGTGTGACTTTGGGCATGTCACTTAATCCCAATTGCTTCACCAAAAAACAAACAAACAAACAAAAAAGAGCTAACCATAAAAAATACCTATGCCTAATGACTGACATATTGTGAGACAAATAAGAGAAATAGCTGTGATTTCAGTAGGGTAGATTCGCCATATCACTGTAACCTTTTCATGACTTAAAATTCATCTATGACTTAGTAGATAAAATCTAGGGCAATATTTGAGGCATAGAGAGATTAAGTTACTTGCCCAGGGTTGTATGAACAGTAAATATCAAAGCTGAGAACTCAATCCAAGTCCTCCTGAATCATGGGATCACAGATTTAGAGCTAGAAGAGACATCAGAAGTCATGTGGTCTAACTCCCTTAATGAGGAATTGAGGGACACAGAGGAACAGGTAGCAGCTCCTCTGACTCCAGATCCAGCTTTCTGGACCACCCTAAGTCCAGCACTCTATCTGTTAAATTTCTCTTTTTCTTGAGACAGATTTTTTTTAAGAACAAACATTTTTAGAGACCTAGATAAAATCAAAATTTTTTAATTTCTTAGGTTTTAGTTGGATTTCTTTTTAGAATGTTTTTTTATTAGTAATCCTGTGTAAACCAGTTTCTTCAACCGTATAATGGCAAACACAAATATATGTAAATACATATACATACACACTCACTGTAAATTCATTGAAGATAGTAGCAATTTCGATTTTTGGGGGGGAGGGGGTTCTCTCTTGTGTCTGGTATGGGAATGTATACACAACTGAATACTAGACTTTAAAATCCAATTCTTCTACGTATCACCTAAGTTACATCTGGCATGTGATCTCACCTCAGAGGGCCTCTTTTATCATTTATAAAATGAGGAGGTTGGACTACGTGGCCTCTGAGGTCACTTCTAATTTTAGATCTCTGTCTGATCTGATGGAGGGAAAAATTTCTCCATTTAAACATTTATTAAATAGGATCATTAAAATACAGATTTAGAGATGGAACTGACCATGGGAGTCATCTGGTCTGACTACCTCATTTTACAGATGAGAAAACTGAGGCCCAGAGTAGTCAAATGATTTGCCCAAGGGTCACAAAGGCACATAGGCCCCTAGGAGTCCTTTCTCTGCCTGTTTGTGCAAATCACTATACTGGGCTCTAAGGATACAAAGAAAAAGACAAAATAATCTCTGCCTCAAGGAGCTTACTCTAGTGTGTGAATGCATGTGTGCGTATTCATTACGGATAGAGTGCTGGGCCTGGAGTCAGGAAGAATCTGTAAAATGGGATGGTAATAGCACCTACCTCCCAGAGTTATTGTGAGGCTCAAATGAAATTATAATTGTAAAGTACTTAGCATAATTGCCGATATATAGTAAATGTTATATAAAAGTTAGCAATTATTATTTACACAATTTAGTAAATATAAGTGGTTAGGGAAGGCTCAACAGCACAGGTGATAAGACCTCCAGCATCAAGCATAACATCCTTTATAAAGACCTTTATACCCCGCTACCCCATCTTACCTTTCCAGTCTTCTTAAATCTAACTTCTCCATCCCCCACCCCCACTACAACATATTCCACAATCCAGTGACACTGACTTCCTTGCTGTTTCTTGAATTAGACACCCCATCTTCTGACTGTTCATTTTCACCATCTTCCATGCCTGGAATTCTCTCCCTCCTCATTTTCACCTCCACACTTTTTCAAGACTCAATTCAAATCCCACCTTTTATAAGAAGTCCTTCCCAGTCTGGGAATAAATTAAATGAAATTAAATAATTAAATCAAAATAAAATAAATTAATCTCCAATATTTCCTGTATATATTGTTTGCATGTCGCCTTCCCCTTTAGACTGTGAGTTCCTAAAGATGAGGGAATGATTTCTGCTTTTCTTTGTATTCTCTGGGGTCTGGCACATGGGAGGTACTTAATAAATGCCATCAATTATGTTGATTGACTGACTTGACTGACTGGCTGATGATAAGGATAATTTGGCTTTGCTTTACCTTTCCAGTCTTGTCTCATTATTCTCATTCACATACTAACTCCAACCAAACTGGACTACTAGCTATCCCTTGGTTATGCATTTTCCCACCCCTCTACCTTTGCTCAAACTCTCTCTATTGCCTGGAATTCTTCCCCATCCTCCCAGTTCTGCTTGCTGGACTCTTCTTATCCTTCAAAGGATACTCTGATTCTTAAGCCAACTTCTCAACTTTTGTTTGTACCTCTCATGTTCTTATCATATTCTTCTTCTTTTTTAAATAGGACAGTTATAGAGAGTACCAGGGCAGTTTCTTTATTTATTGTATTGATTTTGGGGGCTGCCACAGTGGACAACATAGAGAAAGAACTTGTTAAATGCTTGTTGAATTAAATGTGAAGAGGAATCTCAATGAGAAAACTTAGTACAGGTCAAAGGATAATCACAGCAGTGACAAATTAACTGAAAAGAACATAAGAAAAAACAGAATTGGGAATTTTCAAAAGTCATTTGTTCATCAGCATTTGTGGGAAATTAAAAAAAAATCTTGGTGATGTGTAGTTAACTAATCTGGTTAGAGATAAGAATTCTAAATTATTTAGATTTTCCTGGTACAGAAATAATAGACTGCAAGCTCCTTGAGTTCAGGGACTGTCTACTGCCTCTTTTTGTATCCCAATGCTTAGCACAGGGCCTGGCACAGAGTAGGCACTTAATGTTTACTGAATTAAACAGGGGAGATACTAGATTCTCTGATTTGAGGCCTTTAATTGCAATAATACTAAATACTTTTTTTTGAGGCAACTGGGATTAAGTGACTCCCCCAGGGTCATACGGCTAGTAGGTTTCTGAGGCAGCATTTGAACTCAGGTCCTCCTGACCCCATGGCCCATGCTGTATCCATGGTACCACCTAGCTACCCCACCCTAAGACTTTTCATATTAATTTGCCTTTGTGGTCTTACAAAAAACAGACATGGCTAAGAAGTTTGGAAGAAGTGTGTGAAAACTGATCATAAAATATGAGATAACATCTTAATGCTTAAAAATGAAGAACTGGCTCATAGAGATACTTGAAAACAAAGAAAAAGGCACATCACCTAAGAACTCTCCGCTCTCAGAGTCAGTAAAGTTTTAATAAATATTAAAATCCTTTTGTCAAAATGGATTTTTCATGTGCTACTCATAATTTTTGTTTAAACCTCCTACTTCTGACAATATTACAGTAAATAGGAAGGAGAGATCTCTTTAGCCTATAGATAGAATTTCTTCTCACTTTAGTATGTTATATCCTGCAAAAGTATTTTTGTACTATTTAAGCAGGATTGGCAGGGAGGGAGGGAACTGATGTGAGGAAAGCAGAAGGAATTCAAAAAATGTGACTGAGAATGAAACACGAGAAAGAGGCAAGAAAGGGATCTGAGGGAAAATAAAAATTGTTAATAGCTAGAAAATGTGACAAGGTAGAGAAACAGCCAGATAATTAATATGCTCCTTTACTTCTGTCTCAAATTTTCACATTTTTCAAAATTAATGGATGATACAAAATTTTTTTTAACATTTTAACAAATGTCTTTAACACCCCAAAGTAATGTGGTTTATATATTTTAATACTTAAATGGATCTCATTGATATGAATTGAATGCTCTCACCATCATTACAACCAATCCACCCCTTCTCATCTTATGTGACTCTAATTCATGTTCTCCCATAGAACCCCCACAGCAGATCTCCTGAGGATGCTACAAGCCTTCCTTGAGGTCTTTTGACATCTTGTGTATTCTGGGGGAGTACTCAGCTGTCAATCTGTTACCTGCTATGCTCATGCTACTTGACTTGTCTACCTCCTTTTCCAGTCCTACATTTCCTGAATGATCTCCCTTTGACACTTACTGGACACAGGTTATCTTCAGAAACATACTGCAGCATACTTGTGCCCACCACCATTTATCTCTCTTCTGCCCCACAACCTGTCACCCACAATTTTGATTCCTCAGATGCTACAGTATTCCAATATTTGCAAACAAAAAGCATCATGGAGAGATAATGTTAAAAGTGACATGCAATTTCCCAAATGCAATCTGGGCTTTATTATTCCTCTTATTCAATTCTAGGACCAGGTCACTGCCCAGAAATACTCTTAAGATCATACGCCTCAGTTCGCCCTCATGGCAAGCTTCTGCAAATTTCCTTTTGCCTCTACTCATCTTGCTGTTTTATGAGGCAATATTACTAGTAATGTTCTGCCACCCTCCAATGTGGTGTTTTACAAGTAAGCTGGTATTCTAAACTGGTTTTGCCCTTGGCTGCCACATTTTTCTCTCAAAGAGATTAAATGGTTTTGCCTTTTTCCCATTTTCTTTTTTTTAAAAAATGGTTTATTTGAATAGACCAAGTTGACACTGTTGCAAGTATATGCAGAGATATCTTCTTATCTTCATCCTTTATCCTAATTTGATATTGATTCTGACATTTGCTATAACTAGTTGATGGTCTGACAAGTCAAACACCATTGTATTAAGATTAAAAATTTTAGTTGTACCTTTTGTTCTACTACTGGATTTTCTAATGTGAGGCATTTCCTGTTTTCTAACCCACATACAACAGGAATAATAATTCTGCTCACTTCTGTTGAGGTTATTACAATTGTGAATATATACCACCATAAAAATGACATGTACTGTATTTTTACAATTGTTTTGCAAAGATTCCTTAAACTGAAAAAGACAAGGAATCACTTAGGGATCAGATACATATGCAAATTCATCAACTTTAAGAAAAAGAAAAGAGTAATGAGGATGATTAGGATTAGGATGAGGAAATGTAAAAAAGGAAATAGGGATTACTGAATTCAACTCCCCTCCTGCCCTAGCCCCAAATGAAGAAGATCATTAGATAACAGTTTTAAAGTAAGGTTATTATACTTCAGAATAGTTTTCTATGTCATTGTCTGGACATGGAAACCCATTTTCCAAAGTCACTTATATTAGAAAAAAAAAGAAATCTATTTAACAGTAGCATAAGAAATTAAGGTCGGAAAGTATTTCTTTACAGTGAAAGTGATTAAAATGTAGAAAGCCTGTGAAAGGAGTTTGCTGAGATTCATTCTACAGAAGTCTTTAAAGAAAAATAAAAAGAATAGAAATTTTCAACTGAAATAGCTTAAATATGTTTTTTAAACCACCTGAAGTCAGAGGAATGGACCAAATTGTAATTGGCAGATACGAGCCTCAGCTTAGTACATATCATCTCAGCAAGAAGTGGCTTGTCACTCAGGAACTAAGTAGAGCAATTTGGCCAATAGAAATGCAGAAAGAGCCAATGGAGCCTCCCAAATTCAAAACTGATAAGCAATGATTTCTAAAGATTCCATATGATACTATAATTTTCAATTCCAGGTAACTTTTAATGCAAGACCCAATTACAGAACTCAGCTCAAAATGTTTAAAAAGGAAGAGAATTGTATTTTAAAAGAAATATTGCTCTTACACTAGAGTGATATTTGGCTCGCGTCCTAAAACAGGCAATAGTGGAAACACTGCGAGCAGTAAAGAGAAGAGAGTCCAACCTAGCGATGTTATCTGAAACAAAGAAAAAAACAACAAATTCTTTAGTTGCCTTTGGATAAGCATGGTGTAGAACAGACTAAATAGCAGCATTACTCCTGTCCTTGTTATACTGCAGAACTATGTTTAGGACAAAACATTTAAAAGAATTCCAAACTTTAATTTTATTTATGCAAACCATTTTGAATACATCTATTTTTAAATAGCTGGTCTAACAAAAACAAACAAATTTTGTATGCTATGAGGAAAATACAAGATGATGTCCTTGAAAACAGCTGGCTAGGACACAACATAAAAAGGTCAGGAAGGATCAGGTCATGTCGGGTTCATAGAATGTATCTTTATTCTCACTCAGTCTTCAGCACAATCACTATTGTTTCTATTTTGGCCAGAAACCCTGAGGGTCTTTCTTCCTCCCAGATTGATTTTTTTTTTTGAGTAGGTAAAAGAGGCCATTTTTTTTGCCTCTTTTCTTACCTAGCCTTAATCACTGAATGGGTTATTTAAAATTATAACCTCTTGAACTGATAGTATATCTTTTTCATATTTGTTGCATGTCCACAGTAAGTATTAAAACTGTTGATAACAGTTTCATTTATCCTCATAATATCTCTTCGAGGTAGTTTGGGACAAGTATTGATGAGGAAAAACTGAGATATTTAAGATTAAGTAGACAGTCAATAATAGAATCTAAGTTTCCTAACTCCCAACATAGCATATTTTCCATTTTACTATATTACTTGTCTTAGGCGACTTTTCAGTTGTTATATCATCCAACCATTTAAGGTTAAAGGAATTTTAAATAAGTAATTCAAAGAATGACAAGTCAGATATATTTTCAAATTGCTTCAGTCATCACCTAGTTTGTTCATTTTCACATGAAAGACTAGGGAAATTAATAGATATCGTGAATGTAGCCTCAGTCCTTTGGTAATAGGCACTATAAAATCCAAAAAGTCAATAAAAGAAACTAGGTTAATAAGGATTAGGTTTTTTAGTTAATATGAAGAAAAATATCCATCTTTTCCAAAAAAAAACAGATATCACATTCAGTTTAGGAAAGTGGAAAGACAAAATAATTACTCATTTAACAAATGTCAAAATTAATTCAGGTTTACACTATACCTTTGCTTGAATCCAGAGTTGTGTGAAAAATGGCCAGCACGCAATTGTAATAAGACCAGCAGTAAGCATGTAGCGGTAGAAAAAGCTGAGAACCTAATAAGACATTTTACAAAATAGATGGGCAAACAGATCATTTAATATTCAAAATAAATCTCTGAAAATTGGAAAATATAGCAATGTGGTATTTACTTACTAATATTTCGATCCCCAGGGTGAAAACTAGTAAAAACACAACTGAATGTTTTCCAGAAAAGGTCAATAATGATGTGATCAGGTCTTGAATAACCTGGAATCTGTTGTAAAAGGTTATGTCAGATGTTTAAGTTATTTTTTTTTTAAATCAGGTTATATATTGAATAGGTCGTGAGCAGAAGAGGTAAGCTGAAGCTCTTAAAGGATATACCAATAAACATAAGCTCTGGCAGTTCCAACTAAACTGAAAATCAAGGCTTCTTGTATGATCTGACAATCTATTGTTCAGGAATCAAATCAACTGAGTTTGAAGAGGCTCATCACGAGAAATCTGGCCAGTAGCTATGAAATATTTTAGTATTACAACTCATGAGGAATCATCTGCTAACGTGTACGGAGGTTACATCAGAAAAGGGCACACCTGTTGGAGTGCCCAAAGAAATCATGGATCATTCAGAAGGACAGAAGTAGAGAAGAGAATAAACTCTGTGTTCAAAACCAGAAATCAGTCTAAGTTCACAATTTATTGTTCAAATTGTAGGAACTTTTAATTCAATCTTTTGATTGCTTTTGGAGAATATGCTCATGGTTTTGCAATACAAATTTGGCTTCACTTTCAACACTGCTATGTAGCTTTTGGATACAGATAAGATGTGAAATAAAAACACAGTGAACACAGATGCACTACACAAAACAACAAATGACAAAGTTCTCTGAAATCACCTTACAACTCTAGCTGTACCAATACGATAAAATTATTTTGATTCTCTAGTTAAGAGTTAAACTCAAATATTACTTTTACATTGAACTAAATAATGTTTTCATAAGCTGGACAAGGATTTTGCAAAAATATCATGTGAATTTAAACCAGAGCATATTTCCAATAAAATCTATAGCTTTAGCCAATTTTGGGGGAGTGGGAGGTCCCTTTTTGCGCATTTATTAAGTATGGTCATTACAAAAGATCATCATGACCCGGTTTTTAAAAAGCCCTCTCTGAACAAACTGCTATAGTGCCATATGGGAATAAGCAGCCAGCATCAGTCCATCAAAGAAAATTGGGACTCTCCTCATCACAATGCACACTCATTTGAGAATGACAAGCAACTCATTTTGCAAACCATTTAGAAGAGTTTTTATTGGGGGATGTGATGGTAAATGTTTAATAACTGCTTCTCTGAAAAATGCACACATGACACACTTTTACATTTAATCTGCCTTATCAACATTTTCTCCATCACTTTCTTAAGTCTAGACAATCAATGAACCAATAAATCAAGTTCTGATTTGTAGCGTTTGCCAATTTCTGAAGTATAAATGCTTACATTGAAAATTTAACCATGCTTGACTCTTCATGGAATGTGAAATTTTGGGGTTTTTCTTCCTATAAAATCTGCCAGCAACATAACTTTACAGAAGATTAGATAATGGATTTTACTTGTGAGATTTCTATTTTTTCCTGCTGTTTTAAAAAAATACATCTACTTTATTAATCTAGATATTAAAAAATAAAATGGAGAAGTTGTTATTAATGGACTACATATGATGCACTAGCCTGAATTCATAATTAGACTTTTTTTAGAATCACATAAAGTTAGAATTAGAAGGGACCTTGGAGATTGTGTAGACATTTTATAGGAAAAGAAATCAAAGTGAAGAGAGGAGAGGCAACTTGTCGAAGTTAATGTAGAAAGGGGGGAGAACAGTCATGACTCAAACCCAGATGTTCCAAACACAAGTCCAATGTTCTTTGTAATGCTTTTTTTTTGCCTAAGTTTTTTAATGACAAAAATGAATCAAGCAAAATATTTTTGACACATTCAAATTTGTTAACACTAATACTCCATGAGAGAAGTGTCAATTTGGTCTCACATAGCACCCTGGGAAGCCAAGAGCCTTTTTACCCTGGGAAGAAATTGCATAGAATTATGAGGCAAATAATCTAAATGAAGTAAATAGATGTGCACAACAAAAACAGGAGGGGACTTTGGGGGAAAGGCTAGGATCACACATTTAGAGGTGGAAGTGACACAGAAATTGCCTGCTTCATTTTACAGCTAAAGAAACAGAGACCCGGAGAGACGATGTGGTCTGCAGGTGGGACACATAGCAAAGCTGAGATTCTTGAATCTGAGTTCAATGAAATCCAGAGAGTATCTAGTCCACCTGAGGAAGAATCTGTTCTGAAGTGTCCCTGGCAAGTGCTTAAAGCTATGTGTAGGCCAAATCGTCAAGTGGTGGGAATACTGCCCTCAAGGAGTTTACACTCTACTGAAAAATAAAAGGTGTAGATAAGAATATTGATCATAATTTGATAGGTACTATCAAATGAAGACAATTTCAGAATACTACCAACAACAGGAGTAGGCACTGATTTCACCTGTAGAATTTTAGGCCATCAAATTTACCTAAACTTTTCCAGAAACCTTTGAAACTTGCTCTCCGAAAGTCTACACATTAAACTATGCCTTTCCTCCTCTAACCATAACTTCTAAGATGGAATGGGCATTTTTCCTTAAAATTCCCATCATTTTCACCAGTAACGAGTTCCTCCTTTTGGGAGAGATGCATATCTAGAATGCAGTATCTTCTCAGTTAATTTGTACACATTTTAAAGGATGGAATTATCACTAAAGCAAGTCAGAAAAGTATCAGCTGCTTTGTTTTTGGCAGAGACAGAATACTCTGACATATGTCTGGAAAACCTGACATCTCCCATCACTACTATAACATGCCTCTGTGCTAGGCTTGTGTTTTGTTTCCCAAACTCCTTCATCCAGGTCCTCTTCCGGTACAATTAGTCTACAGCATAGTACAATGACAAATATTGCTTTTGCTTATGTCTCCTTTGACTTCCTTCTCCAAGTCCCTTTTCATGCCCTCTGGTTCTTGGATTCCCTAACATGAGTATGACTTTTCAGTATATCATGCTACATTCCACCATTCCGAACTATTTGCCTATCATGTTCCATTTGAATAGGCCATATACTATGTTCCATCGAGAGAAGATAAACAACAGAATAAAAACATTTGTATCAAGGGATACCTGTCATATATACCCAATCTGATTTTTCAGAGTATGGCATTAGTCCATAAACCTACATCACTGTTCTCATAATCTAGAGAGATGCTCTAGGGTCTAGGCCAATTCTAATTTTCAGAGGTAGCTAGTACTCCTCCAGCTACTTGATAGACTGTTGGATTGGAAGTCAAGAAGACCTGAGTTGAAATCCTGCTTCAGAAACTTACTAGCCATGTGACTGTAGGCGAGACACTTAACCTAACAGCCTCAGTTTCTTCATTTTTAAAATGGAGATAATAATAACACCACCTACTTCACAGGGTTGTTATCGAGATACATCAGTCTCATTTTTATTACACTTCAGGAATCAATGAAGCATGATAGCTCCATAGCATCCAGAAAGAGGCCAAGATTCAGAAAAATACCAGAGGTTCTCAGAAGCTTGTTTGTATGCCAAAAATCATGCAAACCAGCTGGTATCAGTGCCTGAGGGAAGAATAAATGTATTGTAGTATGATCTGGTATTCTGTGTACCAGAATACCAAGAGTAAATAACATTTATTAAAGGCCAATAGGTATATGACTTGCATAAGCTCAATACAGTAATTTCATTTGCTTAGGTTTTTGTAACAGTCATCAGAAGTCTTGGTTTAACATGAAGATACAACAGGATTTGGGGAAATAGGATACAAGTTGTGTGAAAAATGAAGGACATTAGGAAACTTTTGTCTAAAAAAGACCCCATTGAAAAAAGAAGTCAATACAGTAATGTAAAACAAAGAGGTAATCATCTGAAATCATTTAAAGATATCTATTTCTGTGATGAAAATAGGGTATGGGGATTGGGTGAGGGTAGATGTTTTGGGAAGACAATGCGATAGAAGTTTAAAAACTCTAAGCTCCAAACTACATTACAGATGGGGGAGAGGGGGAAGACAGCATCATATGTTACTTACTCTTTGAGAACTGCATACCATATTGGCACTGGTAACAAACAATATATGTAATAGGTCCAGGGACAGGCTTGAATCAGCAGGAAGAATGCTATTAGAACTCCAATAACTACAAAACTGCATGGCAGAAGATAGTGGGGATTCTGGAAAGCAAACACATTTTTAAGCTGTTATAAGCTGAGATCACAATACTCTGCTCTTAAGAGAATTTTAGAAGCTGGAGGTAAAATAATACTATCTTTTGAAGCCCTATTATTGGTCAATGGAGCATTACTGCAAGAAATGCGAAATCTAAAAAACTGTAATTTGAGGAATAAACTAAAACTTTCACTTCATGGAATTTCTTTTTTTATAGGAAATCCAAGAAAATAGGTGGTAGCCTAAAAGTTGATTTTAAGCCAGTCTTTTGAATTTATTTTCCTTGAGAAACAATGTTACAAATTCCAGACTCTTAAGTTAAGGAACATATCCCTTAAGTTTATTGAGTCATCAATATTTGGTAGAATGATCTTTTTTAATAATCCCTTTTATATTCCTGAAAAATAAAGTAGTACATTTATCTGATTTGATCTTATTAAAATATGATGATTAGTTTTAAAATATAACGGCAATTTCCTTTTCTTAGTAAAAATATCCTAAATCTCTTAACTTCTATTCATGTTGTTGCATATAACTTTATAAATAGCTTCTCAAAACTATTATGTTCTGCCAACCACACAATAGTGTCAATAGCCTGCACACAAATTCCAGTGGTAACTTTTCTAGTTTTATATTCTGTTTTCCTGTTATTGGAAGGGAATTTCTTAGTTTTTGCTTGTGACATATGGGATTTTTACAAAAGAATTTTCAATTATTCTTTCAAAATAGCTAGGTTAGAAAGATTTTCTAATCAACTGGGTTCTTCTCACAGTACAATCCATGCATTTGTTTCGGTTTAATTAGGATAACTGTTTTTGCCTTTATGTACTTTGAACTTTACTTGTCATCTGCTGGCCCAGTCACCAATATAGCTACAGCTTTCCCTTCTAATTTTAACACCTGCAGAACTGGAGATAGTTTCTTGGGCTTGTCTAAATACTTTATTTAGGAATACTTAGCATATCTTAATGTAGCTCAGCAAATATTTTTGGAACATTCTCAACACTAAAATCATTGGGTTTGGCCCAGTAGGGAATACAAGGATGAGTAAGACGTAGCCCTGTTCTCGAGGGCCTCACCAACTCATCGAAAGGATAAAGCAAGTACATGAATATCTATAATTCTAGTGAGTACATAAGTACTGTATACATAAGTATAGAAAAAGAACCAAAAGACAGATACCATTTATTTCTAGGGATTAGGAAAGGCTTCATGGTGGCGGTGACATTTAAGATGGGCCTTGAAGAGTAGATAGGATACAGGTGGGTGAAAATTGTGAAGGCATTCCAAACAGAGAAAAGGTGTGGAGGCAGCAAAGTATGTTCATAAAAAAGCAGGTAGTTCATTTCAGAAGACATGTTGGGAATCTGTAGTAGAGCCGTTTGAGGTTAGGTTAAAAAGAATCAGTTGAGGCCAGTTTGTGACAGGCTCTGAATTACAGACTAAGAAGGTCAGACTGAATTTGCTTGGCTGTTGGGAGTCAGTGCAGGTTTTTAAGTCAGAAGAACGACAAGATTAGAATTCTATTTTTAGAAGATTATTCAGGTAGAGAAGAACAGTGCGCACAGTAATGTAATGGAAAATAACAATGAAAGACTTCAGAACACCGATCGATGCAGTGACTAATTGTGACTTCAAAGACATGACAGGGAAACATCTCTAGCTTCTCAGCAGAGAAGTGGCAGACAACAGGTATGGAATGAGGCATGTAATTTCACATATAGCCAATGTGTTCATTAGTTTTGCTTGACTGTACTTATTTATTAAAAGGGAAAATTTGGGGGTTTTTTTGTGAGAGGAGAATGGAATCACTGGGAAGTATCAGTGGTATAAAAAAAGAAAAGCATCAAGAGAACATTAAAAAAAGATTATTCAGGCAGCAGTGTGTAGGATGTGGTAGTGTGTTATTCAGCAGGTAAGACATTTGAGCTAAAATTGTTTTATAAATGTTATTCTTTATCAACACCCTCATGTTGTAGAACAATTATCAATTCAAATTTCTAGACTGGGAAGTGGCACTATGGATAAATTTCAGAGTAGAGGATGAAGATGAAATTAGCACCTGCTGCAGTGACTTGGGCACAGGAAATACAAAATAAACATCCATTGATGTGATTGAATTTCAGTCCTCCTTATATGACACTAATGCCTTTACAGGCTTCTAACCTACCTTTCCACTTTTAACAACACTTCTTGTCAGACTAGAATGAGACTTGATTATCATTACAGTAGCAAAAGATATCCATCCAATAAAACCCATAACAACACTGATGCCCAAAAAGAATCTGTTGTAAGTGTGGTAATATGACAAGCCTTCCAGTGCAAGATGAATCAGCTCCTTGCAAAGAGAAATCTAGGGAAAAAGAAAAACAAACAGCATGTGACATGGACAGAATTAAAACAAATATAATTTATATTCTAATACTTTATTGGATCTGAGACTAGATGTACATAGTTTTGCCAACAACAGCAATCACAACTTATCTATACCCTTCCATTCTTGTCCAAATCATCCTCCACAAATTTGCCCCTGGGATGCCCATCCAGAAGGGGCACCACTGCAGCACATGGCTGTCTACTGGTTCTCTCTCACTCTCCCTGTATGACCAGCCCATCTCTTTTTCTTCCAGTCATACATTTCTCTGACATCATACTTCAGCCCATTTCTCCTATGTAATATGTAATTCCTCGTTTATAATACATTTTGCCTTGCTTGTACCAACCAGGTACCTCTCCATTGCCCCCCCCCGGTTTTTTTGGTGAGGCAGTTGCAGTTAAGTGACTTGCCCAGAGTCACACAGCTAGTAAGTATCAAGTGATCAAGTGTCTGAGGCCAGATTTGAACTCAGGTCTTCCTGACTCCAGAGCTGGCATTCTATCCACTGTGCCCACCTAGCTGCCCCTACATTGCCCTTTAAGAGAAAAAAAAGATTTCCCATTTATGCACTAGTGGTATTTAATGAATTTAATGTCATTCTCTACTGCAGCACTGCTAAAATCTATGGGTTGCAACCCACAGTTTAAGAAGCACTGAAGGGGTTGAGAGTGGAAAAAGTTTAAGAAATCCTGCTCTATGGTATGCTTCTCAATGCAGATACCACCGTGGAACACAAGCATGGAGTGGGTATTCCATGTGAATAATCTGGACACTTAAATCCAGTATGCAATGGTACTTACTAGGGGAATTAATTGGGAATCTTTGGGCTACTCCTGGACTTGGGAGACAGGACAATTGAGCAACACTTGCCTAATCACAGATTCATTGACCAACATATAGTATTGGGACCCACTTGGGATTCATATGGGAGGTGGGATTTCAGATAAACTGTGCGGACAAGATATTTTTCAGGTACCAAGTTGAGAACATAAGAATTTTTTAGATGGAAAGGGGTCTGGATAAACCACTCATAAAATAACATTCTGGGAAATGCAGGCACTAAAGGAAGCAGTGTTAGACATGACAAATTGGTAAGTATAATAGGAAAAAGCTGAGAAGGATGCCAAGATAACATATGGGAGTCATTTATTATGACCACACAAAGATTAGGGATAATTGGCATGCTGATAGGTTAAAGGCAGATTAGTTTGCAATGGAGGGATTCTATCTATGCCTAAAAAACAATACCTTAGACCTAAGGAAGTAAGGAATAAATCAATATTAGACAGAGGCAGATGGCCAACTAGACATTTCTTAAAACTATCCCTTAGATGATTACATAGGTTTAAATGGTCTGGCCACTCCCAAGCTGAAGAAATGTTTTGTACAACCTATGAACTATTTTGGTGACCAGACTTAGTGAGGGTCTATGAGGACTGATATTTTGCTATTTGGAGTTTGCCAGAAATGTTCTTAAATTCCAATATTTTTTAAGATCCTTGGGCAAGTGTCAGAAGGGATAGCCTTAGGTCTAGTCCCAAGTGAACAATGCTATCCTCACTGGTACTGGTGAATTTCTGTGCATGGTAGATTAAGATGGCCCAGACAGGGGAAGAAGACAGAATTATTACTCTATGATTCATGGTGAATTCTTCCATTGGTGGGTGTTTCTGGAGAATCATCCAGTTAAACAAGGGACTGGATTTCATTTTAAGTGTATTTGGAGATACTAGAAGTGGTCCATTTAGGTGGAAAGTATAGGCAACAGGTTTCTTTCCCAAAATGCTGAGGAATGGATGGAAGATGGTAATTCATTTTTCCAAATGAACAAGCATTTATTTTTTTCCCTCCTCCTTTCACCCTCTCCCCCCAAAGAAAAAAAAAATAACAAAAATGCCTTGTTACAAAATGTAGTCAGGCAAAACAAATCCCTACGTTGAACCTGTCCAAAAATATGTCTTTTGAAGTGAGTTGCCAAGGACACCAAGGTACTTACAGAATGGAACAATATAGTTGATCATTAGGAGAATACATTTTGAACCAGCCTATGAATAGAGAATTGGGCAAAAGTAGTACAGGGCCACATCTGTTTGGTTCCCTTATGTACAATTAAAATATTTGATTTCCTCTTTTTTTTTGGGGGGGGAGGCAATTGGGGTTAAGTGCCTTGCCCAGGGTCACACAGCTAGTAGGTGTCCAAAGCAACATTTGAACTCAGGTCCTCTTGACTCCAGGGCTGTGGAGTGCCACCTAGCTGCCCCATTTAAAATATTTGAAATAAGAATGAATTACATAACATATATTGGGATATATGCTCCTTCTTAAGCCCAAAAGGGATGGTGTCTCTGTGATTGTGTATAAGAATTAGGGATAGGGGCTTATAGTGTATAAAGGCCTGATGGGGCATTGGAGAAGGGAAAAAGGGGAACTTAGTACATGTGTTGTAACTGAAAAGGGAACCTCTAGTTTCCATGGGAAAGCTAGATGATCTACCCCATTTAGCCAGTCTAATTACTAAAAGCTCAAGTACTGGGGCATACAGACTGAAACTAGTGAAGAAATCAACACACTCAGCTGGGAGAAGCTGACTTTGACTCATTTCCCAATTGGGCTTTTATTTTACAAAACAAGGACAAGTGAGTCGGGAATTGTATACTAGTGTCTCTTCTTTCTCTCTTGTGGTTAGTCTGCATTTCAGGAAGAACATCTCATCCTGAGGTTTGTGTTAACTGTAAGAGAGGTTTCTAGAGTTCTGAGTGCTAGGGCATCATAAAGAGCACCATGATAGAATACTGAAGGAGTCTACAGCTTACCTAAAGACTACTACTCTTCATTTCACTGATACCTTAACTTATTATACTACCAAGGGCTTAAATTGGCTGGAAGGTTCTTTCCCTACTGCCTAGGAAAGAACCATAGTCTGAGAAATAAAGGCTGATCATTTACCTGGTGGATTAAGGAAAGCTGTGATGACTTGACTTTCCTTCCCTTCCTACTCTTGTTTAGCTTAAGATACAGCAATAGTCTAAGGATTTTTTACTGGTTATCTGGGATTATTGTGGAGTGGATAAGAAAGGAAAGAAAGAAGGGATAAGTATAGCCAAAAGAATTATAGCTATTGTTGGAGGGAAAAGGGAAACTGATTTGGAGAAAGAAGAGGGGCAAAGTATAAGATCACTGAAATTGAATGAAAGCATTAAATGTGAGGGAGTATTGGGGATCAGATGTGGACCTTTTATCCCAATGGGATTTAGTAACTGGGATAAGATTAGGACTTACTTTTGCAAATGTGTTGGACTTTAAGGTTGAGACAAAGGGTGGGGAGAATAGAAAGGAAGAAGAGATGAGAAGATCTTTGCCTAGGTCAGTCTTTAAAGTGATATAAGTCACTATAAAGATGGGCAAAGTTGAGCAAGACTTGAAGGGCATGCTGGTCTATTTCCTCAGTGGATCACACCATGAGTGGTAAATAAAGCTGTGCCAAATGCTTATATCATCAGGGATCTAAGTGATTCTGCAACTGCAGGAAATGAACATTAATAATTCAGCAATCAACAAGCATTTATGAAGTGCTCCCTGCAAACCAAGTACCGTACCTGGGGATATAAAAAAGCAGAAAAAAAAAATCCTTGCTCCCTCCTCCTACATTCTGACAGGAGAAACATATCTTTATGCTTATAATATAAATAACGTGCATATGCTTATACAGAGGATAGAAAGAAGGCTGCCTTAAAGGTCAAAGCTAGGGGCAGCTGAGGACCAGAAAAAGTCTCTGGCAGAATGTGTCACTAGAGCTGAATCTTGGCATAAACTAGAGATTCTAAGAGTGGGAGTGAAGGGGAGATTATTCTAAACACTGGGGACAGGCAGTACAAAGGCATGGAGACAAAAAAGGGAGCACCATGTGTGAGGGGCAGCAAGTGGCCAGTAGGGTTACGTCGTAGCGTGTGTGGAGGGCAAAAGTGTGTAAGAAGCCCAGAAAGAAATAGATCAGAATGTCAAAAGCTTTAAATGGCAGAAAGAGGCATAGATATTTAATCCTAGAGGTAATAAGGAACCACTGGAGATTAACAAATAAGCATGACATGGTCCAAGCTGAGCATTTGGAAGATTACTCTGAGAGCTATGTGGAGGATGGACTGGAGAGGGAAGAGATAATGAGGTGGAGAGAGCAATTAGGAGGCTATTGCAATTGCCCAGGTGAGAGGTGACGAGGGCCTGAACTAGGGTGGTGGTTGTGTGAGTAGAGAGTTGGGAATGAATACAAGAGATGTTACAAAACAGACAGGACAAGATTTGGTAACTTAATGTATATGTGAGGTGAATGAGAGTGAGGGATTGAGTATGACAGTGAGGTTGCAAGCTTAGATAAGTGATGATGTCATTGACAGCAAAGAGGAAGTTCAGAAGACTGGTGAGTTTTGGGAGGAAGGTAATAAGATGATGAAGATAATAAATGGTGATGTAGAACTAGAACTCAAGAAAAAAATCTGCATAGAAATGATAATTGAACTAAAGAAGTGAGCCAAGGATAAGAGCCACGAGGTAAACCCACAGTTAATGAGGGTGACATAGAGTAGCATTAATTTTTATAATATTCTAAAATTCACATTTGCTAACTTGAAAACAGCCATTTCTGGAAGGTACGAGAAAGCAATGAATGCACTCTCATTTACATCCCAAGATATACAGAATGATGATACATAGGTCATTTTAGTCTCTTTCGACAAAAGTGTAAAGCTTATTTTGTCTTACAAAATATTAATAAATTTTTAAAAACTACAAAACAAAATATCTCATTTTTTAAAAAAATACTCAGAAACACAATGTAGGTGTCTAGTTTTGAGAGTGGAATGGGATTGTTTCCTACTTTTGAAGCTCAAGAATCTTAAGGACAAGAAAAATCCAAGAAAACAGGAGAAATGAAAGCATGGCTCTGCCATGAATCTGTCTTTGACTTCTGACATTGAACAGAAAGTCCCACGTCGTTTTGGTTGCCTTTCAAAAGGTTTAGTAAGTTGGTTCTTCTTTTTCTTTTTTAACTCATGTATTGTCCTATAGAAATGATGTTACACTAGAGAATCAGGTTCCAGGGCTAATCCATAAAAATCTTATAGGATAATATAGTTGGGACATAAAGAAGGAACTACACACAGATGTAATATTTGTTTGCTGCCATGTGAGAAAGGAATATGGTGGCTCATGGAATATACTTCTCTCTTTCCAGGGCTCAAAAGAGTTCCCTGCTCTACTCTCCAGGAGTAGTAATGGCCATATGCATAGGACTTTCAAAAATAGAGGAGTGTATACATACACTTACCACATCCTGATACTTCTTCTGTTTAAGGTAGGATCTTGCTTTTCCTAAAATCTCAAGCTGTTTGGAGTCAGAAAGCAACCTAGAAAAAACACAATATATTTGTTAAAGGGTGCAAACTCCATGTCACCTACAGCATCTAATAACTTTATATATTAAGGTAGAGATTATCAAAGTAGAAGAGTAACACCAGGAAGAAGAGGTTCAAGTCATTTTGTTGAAAAAGATCTCAGAGGTTATCTAGTCCAAATTCTTCCTGAAACATAAATCCACTCTATAGTATCCATAAACTGTCAGTAACTTTTGCTTGAGAACCTCCTATGACAGGGGCTTCACTAGCCAATGAGGTAGCCCATTTCATTTCTCAACGGCTCTAATTGCTGGGAAGATTTTCCTTAAACTGAGCCTCTCAGCAATTTCTGTACAGTGGTTCTATTTGTATATTCTTGGGTCAAGGAGGAAAAAAAGACCATTACTTTCTCTATTTGCTAACATTTCAAAATCAAAAGATTGCTATCATGCTGCTCCCACCCTCCAATAATTTTCTTCCTTCAGTCAAGCTTCACATAGAAAGGTTTCAACTTTCTTCACAATCCTCTTGATAGCTTTTATAGCTTCTCAATGGCTCCCTTAAAACGTTTATTTTCCTCCCCTGAAATTAGGATGGTGACTTAAACACAGTAGGTATGCCTTATAAATATCTGTTGAATAAGGAACTGTACAATGTCTGAGCACCCTTCAGATAGAGTTTTGGGATTTGCAAGGATATCAAAGGGGGATTACAAAGGGGAAAAAACTGTGGAAACTGAATGGAGGAACCAAGCCCTGAAAGGTCAGCTGAGGTCATATTATGTAGGTACGTGAATATCAGGACAGAGTTTGGACTTTTACTTAGTGTGTAATGGGAAATCACTGAAGGTACTGATTCGGTGTTCAGAGCTGTGCATCAGAAAGATTAATCACCCAGTAGGATACAGAATCAACAAGGATCATTTTATTCCCTTCTTATTATTGTAAGAGATATCCATGAAAGTTTTGGGGATTTTATTCTACACACACCTTAATCAGAAAGCCTTGTTTTTATTTAAAGATAATTCAAACATGAATTCACTATCTTAACAGAATATTAATTATATTAGTAATAGTTCATTAAAAAAAAATAATTCCTTCACAATATTGTAAGCATATCCCTTTACTGCTAAGGAGGTTGTCTGCTTAGTTTTTCCTTGCTTTCATGTTAAAAATCAAACAGAGATGCAGAGAACTTGGAATGGATTCAGAAAAGTGGCAAAAAGGATTAAAGAGAAGAAAATTACCTTTTCCTTGAGAGAAGGTTAAAGATCCTAAATAATTTAGCTTGGAAAAGAAAGGCCTTGGTGAGAGGATAATAACTGTCTCCACATGCATTAAGAATTATTATACAGAGGAAACTGATTCTGATTAGCTAATCTCTACCTGCCCTAAAGAAAGTAAATGGCCTTAAACCATAGTATGAGGATCTGGGCTCTGATGTAAGAAAGAATTTCCTTACAGTGAAAGAAGTTTAGATTCTGGAATTTACTTTTTTGTAATAACTGTTGAATCGAATGGGAAATACTCAAAAGAAGCACAGGTTCATCTGTCCCAGATTGCATAGCAGCAATATTCAAAGTCCCTTCTAGTCATATAAGTCTATAAATCCTGGATTTCCTGTAACGATACTTCCAGATAATTTTAAGAGATTTTATGAGTATAAATCATTAGGGGGGAAATGGAGGATAAAATCTGAATGGAAAACGTTATTTGTAAATGGAAAAAATTTAAAAGAATACTATAAAATTATGATCACTTGAATATTAGTGTTACTCATTCAACAGTCACATGTGATGCATTAGAAAGGACCAAATTATGTAGGATGGCAAGAGAATGCACAACTATGAAAGAAGGCTCTGGGGGGAGAAAAACTGCTTCTGGTCAATGTACATTTGATTATTCATGCAGCTTTTCAATATATCTTGCCAAGTAACCCTGAGTTGGTGAAAAAGATAGAAAGAAAAGATAAGGGCAAGATAAAAGCATAGAAATACACAGGGATATGATCATATTGATAAAAAATAAGTAGAAATAGGGACCAATGGTTAGACTAATCAATAAATGGAGGAAGACAAAGGGGGAGGGCCTGATATGATGGTGAATTATTGAGAAAGACCTCGAGAAAGACCTCCAAAATATCAACAAGTATTCAAAAATTCAAGGACTTTCTAAAAACCAATATGAAAAACTGAAAGGATTCCAGGGAGTACTGCTGCCCAATAGAAATGTTTAAAAAGAAAACAATGTGGGATGTGAGAGAAAATGTTTGAATTCCCCCAAAAAAGCACAAAGTATAAAAATGGACAAGGAGGAAAAAATACAACTTCATGCCCTGGCTACAGGAAAATAAGTTACTTTATACTTGTGTTACTTCACACTTGCGTATGTGATAATTATGAATCCTGATATTTATACTTGTGTCTTTAGTGATTTCAGTGTTCAATCTAGGATGGATTTACAGAGCTATTACAACATAAGATTTCTTTGGCTCTCATTAACAACTCTATATCCAGGAATGGAAGAACTTCTGAAAAGAACAAGATATGTTAACATAACATTGAACCTCTATGCAGAATGGCTTGGTAGTGAAATGATTAAATCAACTGTAATAAATTTAGTGAACCTTTTGACTAGGGATTAAGTATAAACCAGAAAGAGGTTTTCATTGTCCACATATTACAATATCCATGTAAACCCTCATGTTTTGCTTTAAAATAATTTAAAACCTGAGAGCAATCTTTAAACTTCTACTTTTTTAAGGAATGCATAAAGTTGTAGATGATAATACAGTGAGTAAATACAGTCTTTCTTATTATTCATGCAGCATTTTAAAGAATGCAGAGTAGAACTGTACAACTATATAATTAAGCATTGGAAAAGTAATAGGCAATGTGACTATTACTTTGTAAGAGCAATACTGTTCAACTGTAAACTAAGAACAAACAAAAAACAGGATAAGCATGCAATTGTAGAAAGGATTCTAGATTTGGAGTCAAAAGGTTTGAGTTCAAATCCCTGTTATGCTATTTACTGTTCCTGTAATTATGGGCCAGTCACTTCACCCTCTAAGCATCAGCTTCCTCAATTCTGAAATGAAGAGACTGGATTAGAGGAGGGATTCTTGACCTTTTTGTGTCATGGACCCCTTTGGCAGCCTAGTGAAGCCCATGAACTCCTTTTCAGATGAATGTTTTCAAATGCATAAAATACATGGGTATTATAAAGGAAGTAAATGCTGGTGAAAATAAAGATGCACTTTTTTTCCCCATTCCAATTTCATGGATGCCCCCGATATGCCTTAAGCTAAGAAACTGGATTAGAGGATTCTAACGTCCTTTTCAACTCTTACAAGAAAGACAGAGGATTGTTAAAATATACATACATATATAAATATATGTGTGTGTATATATGTACATATACATATATGATTCTGAGTGAGGCTACATTTCTTTCTTTGTGGATAGTGGCAATCATCAGAAATTTTTTCCTTATATTGTAGTGAAATTTCTCTCTGTTTAACTTCTATCCAATGCTCCAAGATCCTAGTTATTTATCTTTGCTGTGGTCCTTACCAGAAAGTAGTAAATATAACTTAAGTGATCTTCCAAAGTTTCTTCCATCCCTACATTTCCATGAGCCAGCCCAAAGTTATTCTTTAAAATGGAAATTTATCACCATTTCCATGAGCCTTAGAATTATTCTTTAAAATGGAAATTTAATATCATTTCCATAGTTTCAAGAAGATAAATAAATTACTTCACTGCATGAATGTAATTATAAATGAGCTAATTACAAAAATGCTTGTAGTTGATCCCTTATGAGAGGTTAAGTTTAAATACACCTGACAAAATTAGTGTTTCTACCTCACTCTTTACAGCTAAGGAACGCTCTGATTAAATGAAGTTACTCTATCTGTTTAAAAGGGACATTCTGACCCTAGGGGTCAGCAAACTACAGCCTGTATAGTGTGTTTTCATACAGTGCTTCCAGTTAAGAATGGTTTTTACATTTTAAAATAAAGTTTTAAGGTATTTAAAAAATTTAAACCTTTCTGAGAGCTGGATTTAGCCCTCTGGCTGGTAGCTTGCAGAACCCTGGCCAGTCTGTGATTAACTGTCTTTGATAGTTAAGTTTGACTTATATAGCACCTTGCAGTGAAACCTTGAGACAAAAACTTAAAAACAGAAGATGATCACATTTGTATTAATTAGGCACTGTGGCACAGAGAACAGAGAACTGGGCTTGAAACTGGAAAGACATAGGTAAATCATTTAACCTTTCAGTGCCCCAAGCAACCCTCTAAGATCACAAGTTGCAGAGATAGTACCAACCTACGCTGGTAGAACTTGAGAGTTTCCTCTCCTTATGAAATCACAGGTCTAGTCCCTATCTCTATTATTAAAAAAATTTACCATCTTGTTATGATTAATACATATGTGTGTACAATATAGTTATGTTACTTCACAAACTATTTTTTTCAGAATGTAGTTATGAACCAAATGTTGAACGATAAGGCACCAAGGATTGTTGATAAATTCTTAAAATGACTTAAAATATATTATATTAGCAAAGATGGCATGTAAACAACATATAAGTGGCTCAGAGCTAGGCAATGGCTCCTTTAGCATCACTGTAATTCTTAAATATGAAACAAAAGTATTTAATTATAAAACACAAAGAATCATTGAATCTCAGAGTTTAGAGGCACTATGTCTGAAGCAAAAATTCCCTCCACAATACTCTATAAAATGGCCAAAGAATTGCAATGACAGGAAATTTCCTACTTTACAAAATACTTTATAATTTCCTACCTTACAAAATATACCATTCCATTTTTTGGACCGCTATAATTGTTAGGAAGCTTTTCCTTATAGAAATAAAATCTCTCTCTTTCATCTCTACTCACTGACCTTAGTTCTGTTCATTAAATCAAACCAAATCAATCTAAAATATCTTCTACATTGGACATGGTGACTTCTCTCAAAAGGTTTCTTTACATGGGTCAGACAT